GCCGTTTCTCGCTCGCTCCCCAAGTTTTACGACGGTTTGCCGTGAGACGTGCGTGCCAAGTTACTGCCGCCGATTTTAGTGTAACCTACGTACGCTTATGACTACATCGGCTCCCGAAGGCGCGAAGGCTCTGGTCACAGGCCGCGTTAAAACCACGAGGAGGAAAGATCGAGTTTTCTGTCGGTGGCCTCGCTCTCGTTTCTTTTTTTCCCCCCTCATGGAATCCGGACGATTAAGTTCGGATTTTCATGGTGGCGTCCTACAGGCCGTGCTTCTTTACGCGGTATCGCTTAACTAGATACCATGGAATTCCTTTGCATATATTAGGATTTCAGCCGCGAGACAAACAGTGGCGTAGAATCGAGGAAACGTATGAATTTAATGAGATGAAGAAATTAAGAGACACGATTATACGGTCCGGTTTACACATTCTAGCGGATCTTTAATACCACTTTAGAATCACGTTTGGAATGTTTTTATTGAAGTTAACACTTTAATAAAATGTAATAAAATTAGATCGATAAATATGTTATTTCGCAAATCGGTTATTAAGTTGTTTAAAAAAGCTACGCGTACACTATTATGCATGGCTGAGAAGAAGGGACTACGGTCAAATTGCACGCCAAAGAGAGTTTATTAGTTAATAAAACATGTGTTTATGAAAATATAGAAGAAATTCGTGTGCACGTTCCAGCTTTACTTGAGCCATCCTCAGCCCACGTTGCACACAAGTAAAAAGATTAATAAATAAAAGAGAAGGTAAGAATTCCACATAGTTACTGAATCGTCCATTAATTACAAGCCGCACAACTTCGGAAAGGTGAGATCCATGCAGTAGTCATAGGCCAGTATTCATAGTCAAATCTTATATTCAAGACCATCTTAAGATTATCTTTAGATACTTCGTAGCCAATGAAATGTTCCATACAGCATCTCTAGATAAATTCAAGGCGGTCTTGAATGTAAGATCTGACTAATGAATACCAGCTCTAGTTTGTAATAATAAAACGGAATGAGAACGGGGAAATAAATGTAAAAATGGAGCCCATAAACTAAACCTAAAAGCAATTATCCATCGTGTGACGGCGCGGATACATGATCCATTTCTGTGCATTTCCAACAAGTGGGAAACTTCTAGTCCAAGCTTGAGACTTTCCTCTATTTGCCGAAAAAGACAGTACAGTGTCGAAACGCGTACGATTGTCAACTTTTTCGTAATTTCACTTGAAATCGATATTATTATGTAAAATAAAATTGTTAATTTTGTATTAATTGTACAACCCACTTTTGCTCGTAGAATACATTGACCGTAACTTTGAATATTTGTTATTACAATACTTAAAAACGAGCGTGACCGTTTCTTTTAATCAAATTAATAGATTCGTTTCAAACACATTAAATTTTGGGGACAAAATTGTATAAAAATAGACGTGTGTATTCTTGAATTTTCCCAAATAAAATTTGCCATTAGCTAATTTACATTAAATCATTCTGTTATTGACGTTAGAATTCCAAGTACAGAACCGAATGAGTTATTTATAGAGAAAATCCTCTCTGAAATGCTGATCAATTTTCTTACAAGATATCGTGAAGGAATGTAACAGGTTCTGGGAGGCGCGATTGAATTTATTGATACTGGGATGCTAGGCAAAACCCAATCAGTAAGATCCATGTCATTGGTCTTTCTTTATTATTTTCGTACTAATTTCGATCTTAAAAATGATGAGAAATCACGGAAGAAATCTCGTTTCCGAGAGAGAGAGAGAGAGAAAAAACACGATCGAGGCGAGGAGACAGCACAAGCAACCCTTACAAAAATGTAATACTGGAAACCAAATAAGCACTGAAATAATTATTAGGAAATTATTGTACAGTCTTATTCATTAATGCCTGGACCACAGTTTTACCAGAATTCACATTTTCATAATCTTTATTCCCATCTATGTATCGATGAGTTTCAGACTGTAGTTTACGTAACGTCTAAGGTGGGATGACGTGTAGCTCTGTGCTAACACGAGTGATTAGTAATGGTAGGGTCCGCGGTTCGATCCCGGCCCTCGTCCCGCATATTTTTCCGTTAAGGAAAATTTCAAAAATTTAGCGTTTGAAGGAGTTTAAGCGCCCTAGTGTTGGATTCGGTGTTTAATGAAGATTAAGCACAAATTTCAACGAATTTTTCGAAATATCACGCTCATATAACCTAACGGTTGAAAGGCGTTTCCACAAAAGGGTAAACTGAAAAAAAACACATAGCTTCTATAGAATGTGTGGTACATACATACATAAAGCCGAAAACTCAATGATTTGTATAGATGAGAAAAATGATGGTAAAAATGCAGGTTTAGGCATTAATGAGTAAGACTGCACGTCAGTAATTTCCGATGATTCAATTACTGAGCTAATGATTATTTCAGCGCATTCTTTCCCCAGCATTACGTTTCTGTAAGAGGACTCAATCTTAACTATTCTGGTTAAATAAACGGTACCTTGAGACGCAAGAAATGGATGGCGGACAAGAGAATAACCGACCGCGATTGAAAGGCGGCAGCCTCTTCACCAAATTCCTCCTCGCAAACATCGCTTACTACTCGACTTAATGCGCGTACGCGTGTACACGTGTGTGGGGACTCCCCCGGGGGAGTCTATAAACGAATGTTTTGGATTGTGTTGTACAGATGGCAGCACCTAACAAGGTATTTCGCGCGAAGGTCAATATTCGAAGCCGCGGAGCTCGTCCGCGGGTATTCGCCGAACACAGAGCTTAATCAATAACCGCTTGGAAATTTTTCTACGCTTTTTTTCATCAACTTTTCCGATAGAATTTATCATCGAGCTACCCTCGATCTCGTCCCACGATAAATCGCCAGCTGCAGAGTAATCGAAGTCAAAGGTGTATTTCATTTTGAAAAAAAGACCCTGCCCTCTCGTGATTTCTCGCTGCCAGCTTTTGCATACGCAATCTCGTATCAGACGTTACGTAACATGCGTTAATATCTGTCCCGGTTCGCACGTGAAAAATCTGACTCGCTGCTCTTGAAATGTTCGCAGATTCGTCTACGGCTCACGCGGGCCGTTTCCGCCGATTTACGAGCGAACTACTCGTCGAATTAATAATTTTCGCCACCACGGGGGTTTCCGTGGCGAGAGCTCACGAGGTCGTAACCTGCGCGCCAGACAAAGAGTAAGCCCCGAAGAGGTGCCCGCGAGCGTGAACGCGAGACGGAGAAGGAAGGGAAGCGAGAGGACGAAAAACCACAGGGGCAGCGGCTCGCAATACGTTCGTACCCTCTCTCTCTCCCTCCCTCTTTCGCGCGTAACAGAGCGTCGCCCAATAAAAACGTCACGAATTCAGGGGCGAAGAGTTTCCGGGCGAACGCCGCCTGGTGGCGCCAGGTTACACCACGTTCCCTCATCCGCGGGGAGTTGCGTAAAGCTCGCTGTCACACGCGGAGTCGGCGAGTGGTGGGGGCGGGGGAGCCGCGGAGAGCGAGGCGATATCTCGCACACAGAGACGCGGCGAAATCAAATCGACGCCAGCGCGCGCTTCGAAGGAAGGGCGAGAGAGCGGCAGGATCGAGTATCTCGAGAAAAACAGAGAGGACGTCGCGAGAGCGCGGTCAAAGAGAGAAAGAAATAGAGGGACGAAGAGAGGGAGCGAGATAAAGAGAGACCGTAGGGTGGATGAAGAGAACGTCAACGATAGACGGAGCGAGAGGGCAACGGAGAAGGGTTGATCGATCCCCGTGAGGACGAAAAAGATGGGACGAGCCCGAGAGAAGCAGAAGGTGACAGAGGAAACGGGGACAATGAACGTGAGGGAGAAAGAGCGAAATGAATGGGGTAGATGCGCGTGAGGGAAACGAAGAGAGAGAGAGAGAGAGAGAGAGAGAGAGAGAGAGAGAGAGAGGGA